CTGTGGAGGATCAGAGACCCAACCCCCAAGACACGAGGCAGACATAGGGAAGACCAGAGTCCAAGGGCCTGAGAGGAACCCTGAGCGCAGAGCCCCAAGGGGCACCCGCACGGGAAGATCCGCCCACCCACCCCCCAGATCAGACCATAGGAGAGAACTGGGAGAGTCCCCCCAGCGACCACACGCACAGCCCCCGGGGTTGATATATATATTACTGGGCTGGAAATGTTGAAATCTAAAAAAATCTCTAATTGTGTACAGGGGGTTCTCAATTTCATTGCTTAAAGGCCCGCAGGCCGCACTTGGGTGACTTCTGTCTGGCCCTTCTTTTTCTGTTTACTTTTTTTAATAGATAAATATATTTTTATTTCAATGGTAAACTTTAAACTTGTGATTCACTATATCAAAATCAATTTAAAGGTGACAGATGATAATTGTCTGAACCCTGAGCCACTGACTTTAAGTACCTGTGGTCCCCTGAGCAATTTAGCTGAACACTTCAATGTCTCAAAATAAGCTGCTTTAAGCCAGCATCGACCATAAACTACATCTCCCATAATTGCATGTTGATTATGCATTATGATATTGCATGCAGTTTTTGTCTCATTTTATTGTTGTACACTCATTAATTATAAGTAGAGTTTGTGAATAAAGGCTGGTTTCAGTTATCTGTGTTGTATTTCCTAGTGACTGACTACTAAATAAGGGCTGAGTTAAAGTTGTGCTGTGGGTACTCACTTCTGTTGTTGTAGATTTCTCCAAAGGACAGTTAATACTACACTTTTTATCTTGTGAAAATGTTGTAAGTAGGAGAGCATAAGTTTGTCAAACTATTTGAATAGTGCACGGTGTGCGCAGTCTTTGTGGAGTTACAAAAATTCAAAGGTGCACGCACGCGCCAGAACACCGCGCTGGGGTGGGGATGGTGCGATTGCGTCACTATTGGCACATGCTCATTCATGCCCAGTGCAATGTGTCAACTATAATAGTTTAATAACAGCACTGAGCCATGCTGGTATTATTAAGAACTAGTTTAGAGATACTGCACTTTAAACTGTTTATGTCTTGGCACGAGGCTGAAAAAATAAATAACTAGAAGCACTAGGAGAATACAAACCTCCACCAAGACCATTTTCCTTCATCCTGTAAGAGTTAATGCAAAAAAGCAGAGATGGAAACACATTTGCTGAATAAGTCCTGATGTAGCGAACATTTAAGCAGCAGTATGCACGGGATTTCTTCTCAGTGGAGTCCAATGTGAAAAAAAAAGGTCAGACTCGTAACCCGGCGTTATTCATGGTCAAACTGGTGTGGGATCAAGCTCCTAAGTTTTCATCAGTCACATTTCACCATGTAAAACGTCTGTTTTATCTCCTTGTATGAGTTTGTAATGGTTTGACTCTCTTTATAAAGTGCTTCCTGGCTCCCCCCGTCTCCAAACTTTGAGGCCCGGYMRMTCTCTGTTTACAAGCCTAGTAGAGACAAACTGTTTTGATTGGTTGTTTAGGAAATGTGGTGTGTTTGAAGAAATGGGGAAAATAGGTTTCATGGTGCAGTCACGCACTTCCTGGTCACAAAATGTTCTGTAAATGCACATATTATGGCAGAAATTATTCATCATTAAATGTGGTTTTAACATTACTTTATAAAGTTTGAAGTCCGTGCTGTCCAGTCCAGCTCACTGTTTTTTACAGAAGCCCTGTGAAAGCATCACAGCTTTGCTGATCTCAGAGTGTTAAAAAGAAAAAAATGTGTATCCACATCGTGATCCAGAACATCACCAAAATTTAAAGTTGTGTTCCTTGGCCCAGTACCCACATGTGGTAAAAATGTCATGACAATCCGTCCACAAGTTTTTGAATAATGTTGTCCACAGACAGACAGACAGACAGACAGACAGACAGACATACGCGACCGAAAACATTACCTCACCCTTGGCGGAGGTAAAAAGCTTTGTATATCCACAAAATGCTGTTCCTGTGTGGATGGAGCCCAAGTGGCATGAGTTTAGTTTTAATCACGACTCGTTATTATTATGCTAAACATTTGTCAGAACATCTCTTCAAAAGTGCCTCAAATAAAGTTGGACCACCACTCCCACACATACAGCAAAAGAACTCTGTAGTTTTACCATTATCATATAGATAACTTTCACACATTCCCATAAACACAGTCACCCTGGACAAACTACAGTTCAAACATAAAGTCAAAACTTTGTGACTGTGCTAAAAATATAGCAAGCATCCAGTATATTCTGATTACAATCTTGGTTTATTCATTTATTTTCCCACCTGTTTTGTAACATCTGCTTTTCCCCTCCTTTTTTATGACCTGTTAATTAAATATCCTCCACAAGTGTGTTAGTCTTGAGACCTCAGGGTGCTGTTGCTTATGACTTAATATTTGTCACGCATAGGAAAAATTATTTGAAAAAACATGCAACAACAACAGCAACAACAACATGCCTTGAGGTTAGCATGGAGCTGCTCAGTAGGAGCGGGTGGAGCCATTTGTCCCTGCGAGGTAGATTAGATGTGGAAGCCCAGTGGGAGCACGAGGACACACCAGCACTCCATCGTCTGGTGGGAGAAGACACAGCTTGAATACATACATGAATGATCCATTCTCTCCCTCCCTGCTTGACACTTTTCTCTGCTGCCTCACCCCCATGAGTTTGTCTGGATTGAATGGAGTTGTTCTTTAAGTGACTCTTTGCTGTAGTTTCTCTCTGATTGTTCTGACTTACAGTAGTGTTATACCTCAACAGGTGCATGTGGTACTGAGAGCATTTGAAGGTGTGTGCAAGGCTCATCAAACTTTCAATTCAAAATTTGGATTATTTATTCACATCATATTGCTAACATGAAAAGTATATCAATCCTGTTTTAATACTCCCACACACAACTATTGGATTAGTTTCTTATAGTAGCCTACATTTAAATACTGTATACTGTAAGAGAATTTATCATTTTTAGATGTACTGAATCTCACAACTCTTAATAAAGAAGAAGGTCCTGAGAACTATAGAAGTCAGAATTAGTGAAGAGTCTGTGCTCCGATCACTTCTGTAAACCAGATGTATTCCAAATTTACCCAGCTCTCAAGCTATGTTTACATGGACATAAGTAATCAGATTAAACGGCCATTCGAAATAAAAATGTGTCATGTAAACACCCCATTCAGATTATTCTGATCCGATTCAGCGCAATCTGAATGAATTTGTAATCTGAATGAGAGAGGTGGTTTATGCCAATTGATAATCCGAACAGAATGCATGGAAACACTTAATCTGGTCATCTTGTTCTGCTTGTGGAAAACTGACCTGACTGTTCATGTCTGCTGACTTTCATCCATCGGTTTCTGCTCTTTTGTGGAGGGAGGGGCAGCAGCGCTCTAGTTTCCAGCAGCGCAGAACTTTTCCTCCTGTTCTCTCATTCAGTAAAGAAGGACGTTAAATAGACGTTGCTTTGCCCAAAATAATTTTTTTAAATCTGTTCATCACCTGCTCAACCAGGGAGTGCAGTATAGTCTCCACCATTATTAAAACCTGTCGCGGTCGTGGGTCCATTCTGGGTGATCAGTTTGTTTATGTTCATGATGGAAGTAAAACTTCTGAGTTTTTTTGGGAAAGTTAACAACTCTGTGCATGTCAGTGCATCTGTTCTGAATGAAAGCATGTAAACACTTGTCATGATTGGATTGTGCCCATGTAAACAATGCATTCGGATTATTTAAAGGCACAGTGTGTAGGATTTTGTCAATTCTTTTAGCCGAAATTGAGATAATCACTAATGACAATAATAAAAAACATGTCTAATCATTGCAGACAAAGACCTTGTTTTATTATTTTTACCTTATAAAAGCTGTTTATATCTCCATGGTCGCAGGTCACCACTACAGGCAGCTACCATCTTGCACCGCCATCTTGTCTACAAAGGCTCATGAAGGACAAACAGCGGTGGCGGTGTCAAAAACGGTTTTAGTTATAATACTATTAATGTAATATTTGTTGTCTGTCATTGTAGCTGGTGTAATTTTACTTATTAAAGCTCATAATCTTACCACTTGAAACATCACTAGCCCGGAAGCTGCTGGTAGACATCGCGGTTGAAATTATCAAAGGTTTTTGACACCTGAGAGACACCGTAGCAACTCCTTTGTGTTTGGAAGCGGGRGGTGGGGGTGGGGGGAGGACCAGGGAGGATGATTCAACCACTCAACCACTAGATGTCACTGAAAACAACAAATCCTACACACTGTGCCTTTAATCCGAATACTTTTCAATCCAATCAAAAAATTTTGCGCATGTAAACATACAGTAGCTAATATAATGTGTTTGCCTAAAGACCCAAGCAACTTTTCATTTCTTTTCATTTCTTTTCTTTTCTTTTCTTTTCTTTTCATTACATTAAGAACAGTGGATTTTAGTGGAAACCACATCACTGGAGAGAGGATTGTTCCTTTCCTTAGGTTTTTACTTTCATATTTTATTATGCTTTATCTGAGATTTCCACAAGGATCAATCTGCATCATAGCATAGAATTAACTAATACATTTGTTTGTAATAAAATTATTTAAAATCAGACATGATATAAACTAACTTTTTATTGTTGTTGTCATTTTAGAGTTCTCCATAACTACATGCTGTGGCGCATCGTGGCGGCGCTAAGTGAACACCTGTCCACTGCCTTCAGAAGCACCATCCATGAGTTTTCTCGTGAAATTGACGGCACAGAGCAGCAGCTGGAACTGGGCAGGCTCTGCCTCACTCAGGCCAACAAACACTTTGGCATGGCCCTGGGGGCGCTGTTTGTCCAGCAACACTTTTCTACTCAAAGCAAAGCCAAGGTTAGAATTTATTCAGACTGATGGACGGAGGGCTGTTTGAGAGATGGTTTGACTGCTTAAAACCAAATGTTGCTATTGATTTTTCCTTCTGCTGTTATTTGTCCTGAAATTAGATACGTTTGGTTAAAAGGTCTAAAAGAGCGAGAAAGCAGAATTTATTTAACACGCAAATAACTTTTTATTACTTTACAGTTAAGGAACATCATATAGGTTTATGCCATAGTTTTAGAAAAAAGTTATTTGTATTGACCTCCATTCATTTTTGTAACTGTATTCATGCCTAAACCAGACATTTGCCCTAAAACTAATCATTACTGGTCTATAGCTAACCCTAACCTGAACCAAAACTTAATTCACACCATACAGGTACCTCGAAACCTACCTAGTAAAGCACAGCAGAGCTGCAAACAAAGTGAGGGCTGGTCCTGACTTCCATTAATTTCTACAGCCTAACACTAACCCTAACCCCCTGACCCTAAACCCAACCTCTCAAGTACTTGACCCTAAACCTAACTTCACAGGTACATACCTGACTCTAAACCTAACCTCACAGGTACATACCTGACCCTAAACCCAACCTCTCAAGTACCTGACCCTAAACCTTACCTCACAGGTACATACCTGACCCTAAACCCAACCTCTCAAGTACTTGACCCTAAACCTAACCTCACAGGTACATACCTGACTCTAATCCTAACCTCGCAGGTACATACCTGACCCTAACTCTAACCTCACAGGTACATACCTGACCCTAAACCCAACCTCTCAAGTACTTACCTGACCCTAAACCTAACCTCACAGGTACATACCTGACTCTAAACCTAACCTCACAGGTACGTACCTGACTCTAAACCTAACCTCACAGGTACCTACCTGACCCTAAACCCAACCTCTCAAGTACTTACCTGACCCTAAACCTAACCTCACAGGTATATACCTGACCCTAAACCTTACCTCACAGGTACATACCTGACTCTAAACCTAACCTCACAGGTACCTACCTGACCCTAAACCCAACCTCTCAAGTACTTACCTGACCCTAAACCTAACCTCACAGGTACATACCTGACCCTAAACCTTACCTCACAGGTACATACCTGACTCTAATCCTGACCTCACAGGTACATACCTGACTCTAAACCTTACCTCACAGGTACATACCTGACCCTAAACCTAACCTCACAGGTACATACCTGACCCTAAACCTTACCTCACAGGTACATACCTGACCCTAAACCTTACCTCACAGGTACATATCTGACCCTAAACCTAACCTCACAGGTACATACCTGACTCTAAACCTAACCTCACAGGTACATACCTGACTCTAAACCTAACCTCACAGGTACATACCAGACCCTAAACCTAACCTCACAGGTACATACCAGACCCTAAACCTAACCTCACAGGTACATACATTACCTTAGACCTAACCTCAAAGGTACATACCAGACCTTAGACCTAACCTCACAGGTACATGCCTGACCCTAAACCTAACCTCACAGGTACATACATTACCTTAGACCTAACCTCACAGGTACATACATTACCTTAGACCTAACCTCACAGGTACATACATTACCTTAGACCTAACCTCACAGGTACATAC